TATCGTTTCTTCGTGTCTCTCTTTCTACTGAAGACACTGGAGGACAAAAAGATCAACTCAGGTGCTCTTCACTGACCCCTCCCTTTCTCTTTTATCTTTAAAATCTGTTTTAACGACCCAAAATCGTGTTTTTGGATCGTTAAAAGCAACAAAGCTGAGAAGCTAAGCTACGGGCTAAGCTAACAGGCCGACCTCGGGGAAAAAACCTCCGTCTTGTCGAAGCTCCAAAATTCTCGGTTGAAACTCGTGCCTTCGTGTAAAAAGTTGTTTTTCTCTGCAAAAAGAAGCTGAGAACTTGTTTACTGATTTTTTTATTAAAACTTTGTGTGAAAAATGCTAAAGAGCTCAAACCACATGAGCGTCCGCCATTTTGAGAACCAAAGAGAGACAGCCCATGTCACGTCAAGGGGCCTCCCTCCCATTTGTCTTAAAGAGACACGCTGCTCGCTCCCTCACTATCCATCCTTCAGTTCAGTCTTAAACTATCATCCAGTGGTCAAAAAAGGTATTACACTCAAAACAAATTAACCAACATTTCTTCTTAAATTTGACAATAATTACTAATTAAACAATATTATTGTTTATGGCGAAACGTTTCAGCAATAAAAAGAGAAACTGTCCAGATGACCTGACTGAAAAATGTTGGATTGTATACCTGGATTATTGAGCATGGACTTTGTTGTTTAGCGCAATAATTTCACCCAGCAAAATTTGTTATGGTGACAGGTCTAGTGTTTCGGTCTAATTATGAAGTGAAAACCTCACAACAGTTTCAGTAAAATTATTATTTTATGTTCAGTTCAAAATGTCCTCATCCCCAGCTTTTTACATGTATTTTGAGTTATCTTGCTCTTACATTTCCTGTGAGATTTGTCAAGTAGGCGTCCCAAATTATTCTGATAGAGCAATAAAAGACCCACGTTTAATACACTTTCACATTTGCCCTTTAAAAAAAAAAAGTCCCTTTTTGTTGCTAAAAACAAATCAGTTTCTACTGCTCTTTGTTCTTTAAATTCACTGTAATTAAACGGTTTAATTTCCAGATAACTCGTAAACCACAGAGCAGTTCCAGAGCAAGGAGCGATCTTTGAGCCTGTGTGGGCCTCAGCTGGGGCGTGAAAATGTTGTGTCTGTGCAAAGACACGGCTTTAGGTTGATTTATGGGGTGAAAACAATATTTTTAAACCAAGTGTGTAAAATAAAACTGATGTCATTTTTTCATGTGCTGCATGGCTGATCGGACTTCAGTTCTGATGAACTGGTGTGCTCTGCGGTTCATTCGTCGAAGACGGGCAGATCCATTTTCACATCAGACAGCACCATTATTATAATTACTGATGCTGCAGGTCTTCAGTTACAAACAGGACAATGCCTCGAAGCAAACACTGGACAAATTGTGGAAAATTGAATTAGTTAAAAGCATCTTATTTTATATGTTTTTATGCGAGCTGTTAAAACCTCCGAAGCAAAAGAGGAGAATAAAGAAAGTCTGTTTTTGCCTCCCCTCTGTTTACAGCATTAACCCGTCTGCCGCTGTGCCGACACCTGCTCCTCATCCAAGCAGCTTCTTTTTGACTTTCATCACACCAACTTATACACAACTGAAGACCGACAGCCGCATGAAGCAGCTCACTTTGTGTTAAATCTATTACCTGCAGCTTAGTATTAATAACTCCATCATGTTAACAAATACTAGTCAAGAATAACTTCATAAAGGGTCAGACATCAGCGGCTTGCTGAGCTGGGGATTTAAAAGGATAGTTCAGATTTTGGTTTGATGCAGGGTGACTGTAAGGTCAGTATGAACTGATCTATGATGTGTGCTTTGTGAGTGAAAAACTCAAGAAAATTCATGCAAAAACAGAGAAGAAAATAAAACTTAACTTTATGCAACTGTATGCAAAAAGTGTCGGTCTGGATTTGGTGTAATTTAATGAAGCAATGGATGATTTGGCAAACGGAAATCCTAAAATTTGGTGAATGTTGTATAAACTGTAAAATAGTGCAACGTCTTTGTTAGACAAATGTGCCCTAAAGACCTTCTACTCCGCTCCTGTTTCTTGGAATATCTTGTAAAAAGACCTGAAGCTCTCGACCTTTGACCTCTCTAAGTGTCTTTAAGAATCTGTTGGACTCCTGGCAGGGACCAACGCAGACATGTTCCTGTTTTAGTTTTTTACTTTCGCCTTAGAATCTAGCCGTTTTTGTTACTTTTTTGGCCATCTTATTTTAATTTGTAAAAAAATTAAAAATAAATCTGTATGCCTCTTTTATAATTGTCCATTGTTGTCGTCATTCTTTGTTGAAATCAGGTCTCTCTTGTAAATGAGTCTTGGAGGCTCAATGGGATTAACGTCTAAATAAAGGTTCAATGAATTTTGACGAGCTACAAACAAGGAACTCAAATCATCAAAATTAATCTAAAATTTCACAAACCTTCTAAAATCTATGAACAATTTTGCAACAAGTGTTAAGCACATACATTTTCATATTCTAACTTTTTTTGTAACACAAACAAATCATAATCCTCTGAAATCCATTCAATTGTATCTCTGTTTTTCTTTTAATCATAGACAGTGGCTTCCAGAGTCAAATGATAATAATTTACTGTTGGAACATTTAATAAAATGAACATTTTGTTAAAACGATGACCAGAGACATAATTTCAGAGCGTAGTTGTTCAGAAGAACAGAAGTCTGATAGTGAGCAGGTGTGGTCCCAGCATGAAGGGATTCTGCAGATCGAGCCCGGTTGCCCAGCGTTCAGCAGGGCGTGACATGAACCTTACACTTGGACTAATTAGTTGTGTTTGTTCATTATTATAGAACTTGCACAAAGATGTTGTACAAAGTCAAAACCATTTAAACCCAATTTTTGAAAAATATTAGAATCTTGTCAACATTTAAGACCATCTTATCTTGTGCTCTACACTATGCTGCAAAAAGACTATTATGATGAAAATACTGTAATACATATGGAGAATAAGTTGACAGGACTGAGTCCATCCATCCATCCATCCATCCATCCATCCATCCATCCATCCATCCATCCATCCATCCATCCATCCATCCATCCATCCATCCATCCATCCATCCATCCATCCATCCATCATCTTTACCCGCTTCCTTTTTTGGGTTGTGGGGGGTCACTGGTGCCCATGTCCAGCAGTCACTGTACAAGAGGCAGGGAACACCCTGGACAGGTCTCCAGTCCATCACAGGGACACATAGAGACAAATGAGACAAACAACCACTCTCTCTCTCACCTAGGGACAATTTAGAGTCGCCAGTCAGTCTCACATGCATGTTGTTAGTCTGTGGGAGGAAACCGGAGTACATGGAGAAAACCCACGCTACATGGAGAGAACATGCAAACTCCACCCAGAAAGGTCCCCGTACCGGGATTTGAACCGGTGACCTTCTTGCTGAGAGGCAGCAGCTCTACCGTGCCACCCATGTTAACAATCCATGCAGTTCATTCAGGATGTGCAGCTGAAATGTGTTCGTTTGTGCAGTTAAGTTCTATTTTCACTTGTGAAACACATCAGACTAACAACAGCAGAGCTTGGCGCAGGTTTATGACTTTTGTTTGTTTGATTTCCGCGCTGGTTTACTTCGTCAGCCAACCATCAGACTCAACAAGCTTCTTATTTTTATAGATGCAAAAACTGATTGAGGAAAGACGCTTGATCGCACCGAGCAGTTGCTCCACTCATGTATGGCCTTTACTTAAATACACTTTGTGCAAAACCTAATGATGTGTTACAACACTGCAGTGTGTGTGTGTGTGTGTGTGTGTTTAAGCTGATCAGCACATGGCTTGTGTGCCGGCCTCAGGCTGAAGAACATTACGATATAAGCATCGACACGTAACAAATGCCTTCGCCATGATCTGTGAGTGCGCCCACACTTCATGCACATCAGAACAGTTCAGCTCAGCAAAGATCCTCAGTTTACCTCAGGAACTGATGCAACAACACAGTCAAAGATTTTTATAGCTGCCTGGAGATATTTTGCTGTAGAACAAGAACAGGATGCTTATCACACCTGTACCTATTACAAATACATTTTCAGGACCACTGCTGGTAATTTCATACATCAAGTCGCACAAGTGAAATGAGATTTTTCCACGATGGGACAGAAGGTGCATGAATTGACTCCTTGTAAATTGTTACGAGGAAGCTGCGGGGTTTAAAGGTCTATGGCTGGACTTCTGAATAACCCTGCGAGCACAGTAAGCGATGTGTGTCTGTGGGGACAGAGGGAGGGCGGAAGCAGATGTGTGTGAGAGCTTCAGAGCTGTGGCACTATCACAGGCTCTCTTTGTCTGGCTGCAGAAAGTGTTGAATTAAAAGACTGTTGGCACTAGTCTGGACTCTCATATGCTAATGTCTCTTCTGAGCGAATAAATAAATTATGACCCAGAAACACATCTGAGACGCTTCGTGCAATGCAGATGAGTGTGCAAGGAACGATGCCGAAAGAAAGCGTGTGTGTGGAGGGTAGCACCTGAATGAGTGGGTGGCATTGTGCAGAAATAGCACTGATGGAGCCTCAGAGAGTCCAAAGCAGATGCAGCATTCTCTCATTTCCGCATTCATTTTTACTAAAGTCTGTTCTAGCTGCTGCTGCAGGTGATGCTGCAAGACAGATAACGAGCGTTAGATCGGGCAAAGAGGCAGAGATCGAGATTTGGACCGAGAATAAAGAAAGGAGGGGGGATTTAAAGGGAAAGAAACGGAGGGAGACTCATACAGAGCCTACAGAGTGAGAGCGAGGGAAGGGAGCCAGTGCAGAGGAGAAGCAGAGGCAGCGGATGGGAGAAGAGAAGAGGAGAGGCATTGACTGGAAGCATACACATGGAGGAGAAGAAACAGCTATTTCATGTGCTTGGCATGCAAGGCTGAGCGAAGGCTGAGTGGATTGTTGGTCGTCTGCTGCTGACCAGTTAGAGAACGTCCACAGATACACTGGGAATACAGAGCTGCGGGCAAAGGATGGACAGGCGCTGTGATCACCGTCAGACCTCATAGCCTCTTGTGCTGGTGCTGTTGCAGGCCGTTAGCCTCGCACTTGATGCAGAATGAGCTCCAAGCACTCCTCCGACTGGATTCCATACAGGTACCGCACATGTCATACATAACACACGAGAGAACACGGCACCGAGGCTCATTACGAGTGTGTCTGAGCAGCTTTCTGTCAGTGTCTCTGAGGGATCAGACTGATAAAACAAACAATGAAGTGATAAAACCAAAGTATTTAGTGTTGGAAATTATTTTGCTTTCATGATGCATTCAGTGGAAAAAGTGTTGCTCGTGTGGATTTATGAATAGTTTTGACTGCAGAGAACACAAAACCATTTATTCAGCTCAACTTCAGCTACAGAAATGTCTGCAAATTTAATATTTGTTTCTTGTGTAAATGTCTCGTTGAATTCAAACTTAAATGGAGGGTCTTACTGCAAGTATAAGTTATACGATCGTTGTGTAGAGCTACCACACTTGAACCAATGTGTCTTTCAAATCACATATTTTAATAATTTCTGTCTAAAAGTGCCTTACACATTTGCATCACTACATGGATATTTTTTATTGAACCATGTGCCTGATGTAAATGGTTTTATACATATACATATACATATACATATACATACTATATATATATATATATATATATATATATTACATTGGAACACTAATGAACTTGAGACCTCCTGTTGTCAAACCTGTTTCTCCTCTAATCATTTCAAGTGCAGTACCAACATTTCTGACTCTTTCCTCTGATTGAACGCCCATCGCCATGGTTTCCTCCTCTTGCCTTGATGCCATTGGCTCATGGTTGCTATAAGATACAGTTAAAATCGATGTGGACTTTGTTTTGATCTTAAGATAGAGGAGAAACCTGTCGTTTTATAACCACTTGGGGGAAAAAGACAATTAGAAACCCTGTTAGTAACTAAATCAACCTAAACAAACAGCCAATAATTCATTTGGCAAGTCTTAACTTTTCTTTTATAAAAGATGTGCTAAAAGATAAGAACAGCTGCTGGGTTATTAAAATCGATATACACATCGAAGTAGGCCGTTTTAAGTCTGGTAGATTTGTGTTTTTGTTAGAGGAGCTGGTTAAATTTTAAATCATCTAAGACTGTTAAAATTATGTGAGCATCTGTGCATAGTTTTAAAAACATCTGTATTCTGTTATCTCGTGCAGAAACACAGTCCATGCATTTGAAATCAACACAATGAGGGAAGCGTATCTCACGAACGCAGCCGTTCTCAAAGAAGTAGTTGCTGCACAGCAGTTCTCCTCTACGGGGAGAGAATTCGCCAGATTAGCTGTTCCAACATCAGACGAATTAATCTCTTGTTCTCTCGTTTTCTGTCTGAGAAAGAACTCGGAGCTGCGAGAGAAAAGCCCTGGTAACTGTTTAAAACATGAAATAAACTTGTTTTGTTTTAAAAACACATCCCGGTCAAATGTCATTCATTCAGTGATCAGTAAAAATAGTATTATACAGCTTTATTAATTCCTTTAAGGTCAGTTTATGTCTGAGAACACACCAGATTAATTTTCCTTTCACACCATCACATTTCATGGATGGCACCAAGCAAAAGAAAAATGATGCTTAATTTTGTGCCATTCAGTGACGCATAATGTGTGAAATTTGGTGATGCATGTCAGACTGTTTTAAAGTGCGAGTGACATATAATAGTCAAACTTCCACCCAGTGCACCCAGTCAACATTTAAAAACATTTAACGTCTTTAGTTTAAAATAACCAACATTGAATTGCTCAGTTATCATTATCCAGTTCTGGATTTTACAAACGTTTGGACCTGCAGCAGAAGGCAGATGATGAAGATGCACCGATTAACGTATTTTCCAGCGTATAAGTCGCACTTTTTTGCATAGATTTGTCAGTCCTGCGTTTTATACGCCAAACCGACTTATAGACGTTTTTTTTCCATATTCATAAAGCAATTTTTGACTGACGCTTTAAATTTCTAAGAACTGCAACAGCGAGTCCTCCCGTGCACACTCGCTTCACTCAGCTGGTGCAGGCAGAAGAATGCTGGAGAGCTAGTGGCTCTGGCCACGATGGATGGATGGATGGATGGATGGATGGATGGATGGTGCCACACTGCCCAGGTGAAATGAAGCTGTTTTGACCATTAAATAAACGCATAATAAAAGCGACTTATATATGTTTTTTCCTCTTCATGATGCTTTTTTTTAACTGATGCGACTTATACTCCGGACAACACGGTAGTTCTCAGGGCTGATTCCCATTTTTGATTTTCGTCGAGTTCTGACTTGTTAATGTACCGCGCTCCAAACACTTTATTGAAAACATACAATACACATTTTATTTCTCACTGAATAGAAAGAAGGCTGTCTTCACTATAAAAAATAGTTTCCTATCTTTTTATCTAAAGACAATTTAGGTTATGAAACAAACTACAATATATCACCTGACTTTTTTCTACCTACAGCTTAAAACATAAATATGCACCAGAGAAGACAAACACTTTTTTATGAAATTAAATTATTAAATTAAATACTTTTTCAAATCTGTAATGATAGGTTTTACAAAATCGGTTAGATTTAAATATGTTGATGCGTTCAAAGCATCTTTTAACTCAAAGGTTTAACAAAACTGAAGAAACTCCTCTCCTGTTCTACAGGTTAAGATACTGAACTTTCAGTTTTAGATCTATGGGATAGTTTCCACTCAATGTAAAACTCGTCAGTTTGATGCAGGACAAGAAGAACCAGAACACTTTACACTGTAATGAGCTGTTTGACCTGCACTAGTGCTGCCATGTTTGTGTCATTATCTTCCTGTCTGATGCCAATTTTCACACTTGATGGCTCTGATTGCAGACGATGAGAGCTTTGTTTGTCAGTATGTCTGACAGAAAGTGGGTAGTAAATCATTTTTATTGCAGCTGTGTGGGTTTTTGCCGTCTTGCGGCACGTTGAATGATTTCATGCTTGTGCTGGATCTGAGAGACTCCACTGTCCTTTTCATGCATTTTAGATAAGATAAGATTAAACTTTATCGATCAAAAGTTTTAAAAACGGACACATGGAGCACCTGTTCAAAGAGCTGAGCTACACCTACACCAGCTTTAGAACTCAGTCACTGTGAGAAATGAAACGATTGATTTTCATAATAATAAAAAAACATTTAAGTAAAGGCAGCACGGCAGGACAGCCTCCCAACAAGAAGATCGCAGGATTGTCTCCAGGGGCCTTTCTTGGTGGAGTTTACGTTTTCACTGTGCACATGTGGGTTTTCTCCAGGTACTCCAGTTTCCTGCCACACACCAAAAACATGCATGTTAGGCTGATTTGTACCGCGGTCTTTAGGTGTGGGGGAGAGTGTGTGTGGTTGTTTTTCTCTGCGACCTTGTGATGGACTGAAGACCTGTCCACAGCACCTCGTCTCTTGCACAATGACTGCTGGACATGGGCACCAGCCCCTCATGAGCCCGACAGAAAGGAGAGTAAAATAAATGGATAGATGGTCTAATAAGGACAGTTTGTGTTCCAGCTGGAAAGTTCTGGGGGTATTCTTCATCTATTGGAGTCAAGTAAAGGATTAAAATTCATCAAAAATTTCTAATACCTGGATTATTACAATTTATTGTCTTGTTATGTAGCTGCTGATGATTCAAACAATTCTGTTCACACATTTCATGAATTTGCATTTGGGTTTACGGTAGTCCCTCGTTTATTGCGGGGGATCCGTACCCTGAAGCCCCGTGATAGGTATAGTAGTACAAGTACTAAGTAGTAGTTTATTTTACTGTAATATTCTAAACAATGTTTCTAAGCTCTAAAAGAGCACAGAATGTCATGATCTCAGCTCTCTGCCAGCGTGCTCGGCCACGCCCACTTCTCCGCTGCAGGGGGAAGCTTTTCCTGCAGTCATGGGCTGCACAAAGGTGCAGCAGGTGCTAAATAATTTAAAATAATTTAAAATAAACATTCCATGCCGATCATGCGCCTCATCCATCAATCAGCCAATTGTGTGTTCTGTCCAATCTTACTTTGAAAAACCGCGATAGAGCGAGTCTGCGAAAAACGAACCGCGAAGCAGCGAGGGACTACTGTACTGTAACGAGCAGCAGACACACTGTTGAACTGTGTAGCAAAATGTTAACATCAAAACATCAGTAAAGTGCAATATTTGGCTACCCAGCCATCCGGACTGAATCCACTACACTGAGTCTTGTGTTGTTTCAGTGCGGATCACTGTCGGCTCAGTGAGTTGTCATGAGGCCAGGATTCCTCACAGATATGAGCAGAAATAATCCTTTATGTCATATTAACAGATAGTGTGTCATATACCTTAAAATTATAAAGTATTTATTGAAAAGTATCATAAAGAAAGAGACAACGGCTTTTGTTAAAACTGTATGCTTTTCTGAAGTCTATTATAAAAAAAAATTCGCAGGACGAAAACTAAATTTTGGCTGAAAAATAAAAATAATAGTCCCGTTGCTGGAAAAACCATAATTTCCGTATTCATCACACATCAAGGGACTCCTCTACCTTTGTCTTTCATCTTTTCTCCTCTGCTCCAGCTAATTCTCTCTGTATCTTCTGCATAAACCTCTCTAATTGAAGCCATGGAGGTTTCTCAGAGGACTGGGACGCTCAGCCACAAGAGCTGCAGGAACAATGAGCGGTTTTGTCACCAGTGATTAACGGCTCCGAAGAGAAGACTGGATGCAGAAAGGCAACAAACTCATCTCTTGTGCTGGATAAAAATCCTCTTGTTTTGTTAATGGGAGTTGTTTCTATTCACCTTTGCATGCTGTTTAGAAATTGCAGTTGCAGAACAAGACCCAGTGGAGGTCGTGAAAAAAATCTGAGCAGGATTTGATCGTTTGCAGAAGCAGGCCATGCATGTTGGACTGGATTAGATACTGTACATGTTTTAAAATGTTCAGATTTTAAATCTGCATGGTTTCTGTCAGAAACAAAGCATACGGGAAATAGTTTTATTCAGTAAAGAAACCGGCTAAGGCAATAGAAATTAAGTGCTGTTGTCTGGGGGAAAGATGCATAACAATGTTAAGGGGGAATACTGGCGTCTGTCAAATTCTA